AGGTAAAAACGATATAAATACTGTTCAGTTTCTTGCACAGACTGATCTTTTTTTTTTACTCTCAAAGCCGTGATTCCCATTCACCTCCATTATAAGACTGACAGACTGCAACGGTTTGTGTAAAAACATCTTGGATGCCCTGGGGGTAAGCAGATAAACATCAAATTTTAAATTTTGGGTGAACTATCCCTTTAAGATCCCCTCTGCCCAAGCCTCATCTATTAATCCAGTTATGTCTCAGTCTGTTGAAGTCTTTTCCATGCTGTTTGCTGATAGGGCTTTGCAAGTCAAATATGAAAAGTCTCCCACTGAGCAAGCAAACGTCTTTGCCAGACCATCAGGCTATTCAAGTTGCATGGCAGAATTCTAAAAAAGACAGATATCTGGCTCCCCTGAAAGAAATTATCTCTGGTCAAACACTTTCAGGACATTATTTGTAAATATATATTATTATGTTTAACTTATTGTATTTTTTATTTTAAATTATTTATGTGATTTATGTAATTCTAATGTAGTAGGTGTAATATTTGGTAATATAAAGCATGACAATGTGGTTCCTGGAAGTAAATATTGAATTCAATTGAATTAAAACTAAAATTCCAGTGAAGTGTTACATTACCTGTAATCTTAAAGAAATATTCAATTATTCACCAATAAAAGTGCTGACTCCCACAAAACATTGGAAATGACTCAAAGTGTGTCACACTCTTGAAACAACTTGAATTTGATTGAATAAGTCTTGAGCTAAATATTTTTGCTGAAATTTCACCCTTCTTTGCTGACATTTCTCTTTGACCTTAATAGAATTTGTAGCTTGCTGAAATAACAGCAGCACTGAGAAAAATAATTGTAAACAATACAATTTTTTAGTGGGCTGCATTCATGTTTGCTGAGTAATTGAACACATTTTGCCTCAAAAGTAAGTTACTTAATATTAATATTTAATTGGCGTATTAATGTTTATTGGACTTAAATAAAAGTAATATCACCAATGTTTTTGAAATCCCTGTAGAGAAAAGGAAGGAGCTGCTGAAAATTGGGCGGTCAGGAATGCCTCAAACAGCTAATGTGAACAGAAGGTTCTTGGCTCATTTCTTATAGACTTGAAAGTTATTCACACAATGCTATACACCCCCTGGCTGCACATTTACATTATTCATGTGAACACTGATAATCAGTTACACAACTATTTTGTCTATTGACTCTTTTGCTCCAAAGCTACTGCTTACTATGTAATAGTGTAGATCTGATACTGGTTTATCAGACCACATGGTTAAGACACAGTGAAATTCTGTTTTTAACAGCAATATTCCAAACCGCTCCACATTTGTGTGCCCGTACTGTGGCGCTCGCAACTTGGACCAACAGGAACTAGTGAAGCACTCCATGGAGAACCATCGCAATGACCCCAACAAAGTGGTGAGTGTCAGTTACCTTACAGTTTCAGGGGTGCCAAGTACCACTTATCTGTCGCAGAGAGGGCATGGTTTGTACAGAATATCTTGTATTGAGAATTAGAACAATAAACTGAATAAAAAATTCTAGCATTTACTCACCCTCATGTAGACTGAAACCCATATGATATTTGTTCTTCTGTGCAACACGAAACGAGATATTTAGCAGAATGTCAATTCTGCTTTTCTGCAATTCTTTCAGTGTTTTAAATCAAGCACCAAGTCAAGATTTGATAACGGTCCTTACTGGTAAACACTCTTTTCTTATGTTTTATCCTTGAAGGTATGTCCAGTATGTTCAGCTATGCCTTGGGGTGACCCTAGCTATAAGAGCTCCAACTTCCTGCAGCATCTTCTCCACCGGCACAAATTCTCCTATGACACATTTGTGGTAAGAAGGCAAAAAAAAGCGTATACTTTAGATTTATATATTCTTCATTTTGTATTCTAACGCTCTGTGCCCGATACCATGTGAGCTGCCATGCTTTCTCCTGCCTACATAGGCAGCTGCCTTCTAAAGCAGTATCCAAACAGTAATGGAACCTCATATAAAACCTCATGACAAATAAAACATCCATATGTGTTATGGGATTAAGAATCTGGGAGGGAAATGGACTTAATAATTAAATTAGTGTTACAGCGCAAAACATAGAGATTTGTTTCTTTATACAATAGATGAACCTGTATCAAGGTGAAGTATGCCATTTCTGTGCTACTAGTGTCACCTGGTGGAATTACAAAAATAAAGCATATTTTCAAACCACCTTTGCAAATGCCCCTTACACTCATAACGGCCTTTCTCACATCGTAGTATCTGTAGCTTGACAGTCAAGAGCTAGCATGTGTGGCAAACACTCGAGTTTAGCTTACGTGTCGAGAAGAAGCTCTTGTAAAAACACCGCCACTGTTTACCCTTGTTTTACCCGGTTGTCGTCTCTGCATATTTTGGCAAGTCTTGGAATTTTGTCTTACTCTTCTGTAACTGAATCTGTATTTGTTACAGAAGTGAATCTCATTAAAACATATCTTGGCTTCATTTCATCTCAAAAGCGAAAGAAAATCTAAGATATTTTGAGTCAATGAAGTGACGTTATTGTTATGACAGTTAAGCACTTTTTCCTTTTTTTTTTTTTTTGCAATTCCCACTATTCTCAAAGGTGATACAATACTTTCTTTACAAGGTATTTTACAACTGAAATGCAAAAACTTTTGTGGTGCAGTCTGATCTGAATGTGTTCTTTTTCTGTTTTTATGTCTGCATATGCAGGACTACAGCATTGATGAGGAGGCAGCACTGCAGGCAGCACTGACCCTCTCACTGTCTGAGAACTGAGAGTCTGGCATTATATCCTGTACCACAAACACAACCATGTGAAGGATCTTCTCACCTGTCTTGTTTTAGGCTAAATATTTTCATTGTTCCTCTGTTTGTCCTCTCACTCTACCTCTCTTCTGGTCTATATTTCTGAGCTACACTCCAGCTAGATCCTGAAGTAGCTCTATAGCTTGTTTACCAGTTGCATAACAGTTGAGCAAGCTTGTTACTTCCTGAATTTTAAGGGGAGGAGCTTCTGGTTGGCTATCATCATCATCATCATCGTTATCGTAACCATCAAAACTGCAACCAACAAGACACTGATGTATGCAAAAAGTCAGACAAAGGAATAGATCAATAACACCATGCTTGTTCTTGTTGTTCTTCCTATTGTTTTCTGTCCAAATGTGACATAGACCCCAGCGAAGAATTGAAAACCAGTACAGAATCAGTTCAAAACAGTGCGTCATGTTAAAGCGAAGTTGAAAAGGGAACTATGTTGGGGTTGGCTGTCCTCTCATCTTTAGGCAATACCAGTAGAGAATAGAGAGAATGAGAGATTGATCTTCAGCATCCTCATTATCACTAATTTCTTCATGTATGGAATGCGGAATACCATCTGCCCTTTTTTAATCAAGAGTTGATGTGAATAATTGCACTCGTCACAGTTTTCTACATGTCTGAATTCTAGTATCGTTGTTCTTTTCTAGTTCAATAACAGAATATTGACCGACAGGACTGCATACTCTGCTCTTAACTTGCTACAGTAATATTTTCTAAGAAGCATCGGATAAGATTAAAATGTATATTTTTGGAAAAAAAGTTTCCGTTTTAAATGGTGCACTAATAATAAGACGGCACGCTTCTAGAGGTGTGCTGAAACGTTTTATCTTTTAATGTATCCATTAGTACTGTTCATCTGTATCACTTACTAGTGCTGATTTCAAGTCCTTCGGGAGACTTTTATTTATGAGTTCCGTAATCTTAATTTTGATGCGAAGTGAATTCAAGCGATTTGGTCGGAATAAGATGGATTCATTGGGCAGGTGTCTTTCTCTCTCGATCATTTCCCGATAAAAGCTTTTTAGCATATATTTTATCATTCTTGTGCTGCCACAGAAAATGATAGGAATTGTTCGCACACTTAACGATCAACAGGTGGCCAAAAATTGGTGTATTAGCATGGCATAGTTAGCCTGCTGGTTGAGTCTGTAATTACACACGCTGCTTTTTAAAAGCACCTGTTCCCATTCAAAATTATGATGTGAATTCATTTTCACAGTTATAGTGTATTATGATTAATACCAGCTTCTGCCACGATTCTTGTATTGACAGGCATTCATGTCCACTAAATACAATCATTCCAACGTAACTTGAAAGCAGCATTGATATGGAGAAACTTGAGCACATCCTAACAGGAAGTGGAACAGTGTGTAGTTGTTTTGGCCACAAAGTCATTCAGAGCGCAGACTCGGCTTTGGTCTTTTACTACTACTGGTAGGGCTTTCTGTACTTTGTAAGTGTTGAATCTAAGCCTATGTACAGTGTTAAGGAGCACTGATGTTTAGAGGAGCATTGGTGTGATAGGGTTAGGCATTAGGGATCAGAATCTAATATCCCTACTTTGCAGACATACCTAACCATGTCTTTAAGTGTTGAGTTGACCGTTAGGAGAAAACATACTCTACCCAAGTACACAAATGTGAATGCCAAAGCATAGCTCAAAGTCAACATTCTTTGTTTTCCTTTCTCTAAAAGGATTTAAAACCAAACAAAGTATTAAAATGTGTAATCCAAACATGTTTCCTTGGAAGTATTCAGGAATGTTGGTGTTATTACAGTGTAATAACTGTGGCGTTAACAAACCACAGTACTCCGAATGCGATAGTCACCTTCAAATTTCTGTGCTATTAAACTGGATGCATTGTTAAGTAGCTAGCTATAAACATGTTGACTTTTATCAGACAAGATTCTTGTCAAACTGTTGTTGCGTCTTGACAATACTTGACACAAAGGAAAACTGCCTCTTGAAGAATTTATATTGCGATATTGCGTTTACAGTAATGCTGTGAATAGATACTTGTGTTATGAATTGCGTTTTGACACATTTTGGAATACAACTTGTGAAACTGAGCTTGTGTACTATAGCTAGAATCAACTGTGTTTGTGTACCTGCATAGAGTATGTTACAGGTCTACAATGATGTGCTCCAAGCTTCTGAGTTTCTGTGGCGCGCTTAGTTTGGCAGATTTGTTTGATGCTGGTGCATCATTACGCATTTGATATAGATTTGATAACTCTGCCAGATGTAATGGTTTTAATATATTTAGAGCCAATCTTGACAAAAGAGTGGAAGACCATTAGGGCTGGTTGAAATTTTTTTCAAGTTACCAACTTTTTTTTTTTTTTAGAATAAGATGATGTTTCAACTTGTGATTCATTTCTGTGTTGATGAGTGTTCGTTTAATCTGTCGCAATAGAGCTATTGTGTTTATCTCCATTTTGTGAATTATTGTTATTTTAAGCAAGGTTCAGCGTGTCACAATCATTGTCTAATCTGAAACTCAGCGGCCAGGAATTAAATCGGTTTGATTTATGTAAAGGTCTGCAGCATGAGTGACTTGGAAGAAAGGAACATTTATGAACTTGTGTGATGTGAACAGTCATTTGCTTCCATAAATATCTTGCTGCCAGTTTCTAATCATTTAGAAAGTGTAATGTGTAATCACTTAGAGTGATCTTTCCTGTATGGTTTTCTTAAAAGCCATAGTAGAGTTTGTATTGATTTCTTTAAAAATAACACTGTGTCCTAATGGGATGACAAAATCTTCCATGCAGATCAGAGTTTTTGTCTCTGATTTAATTGATTTATTTGAAGTTATATGAGCATTGCCACTCAGAGTACAATCTCAGAGATGTCGTCTCATTATTACAGTAATTCTGAGCATGAATAATTGTCAAATTTGTTCTGATTTTCTTTTGTGTTTTTGCATTTTCGCTTTCAGTATAAGCAGACAAATTACAGTACATCTCTGGAAATGTGTCACATCTCATTGGGACACAGTGTTAGATGTCATTTGTCTTTTAATGTACATTTGTACTGAATACAGGGCCATTTATAATTGTGTAAGGCCTTCTGGGTAATGTTCAAATGTCCTTGTTGGTATTTATTAAGAGGCCTGTTAAGAGGCTTATACATTCATAGTATAAGTGATCACTTGTTTCGTCTTTTTTTGATTTGATTGTACATAAAATGGCAAGACTGCCACATTTTTTTGTGGCATATGTCGAAATTTGGATGAAGGTGCAATCACCTTTTCTGCTAAGAAGCATGTTAAAAACAATGCACTTTAATTAACTCAAATGTCTTTTGATGGTTGAGTAGGAATTTTGTTCCAGTTATTTTAGCGTGACTGACTGCCAAATGTATTTTACAAGAGGCAGATAATTTGTCATGTTATTGTTGTGTGAAAAAAAAGGTAGGTCAGGTTAAAAAAACATCAAACATTTTCAGAAACTGGTAATATTGTATTGTTATTAGCAAAACCATGATGGCAAAAGTAGTAAAACTAAAGCAGAAAGAATTTTTCAATAGTTTCCAAACAAGAATTGCCTACTGAAAATGTGTTCATTGTATTTGATGGCAATGTGTTTTTCATTGGCTTGTTTTGAGGTTTTACATGGTGTCAGTATTTTATGGTCTTGCTCTGAAAGACTAAGATGAAATCGAAGAGTAGAAAGTAGAAAAAGACAACAGAGTTTCCCAGTATCCTAATGTTTTAATGTGTTTTTCATTGGCTTGTTTTGAGGTTTTACATGGTGTCAGTATTTTATGGTCTTGCTCTGAAAGACTAAGATGAAATCGAAGAGTAGAAAGTAGAAAAAGACAACAGAGTTTCCCAGTATCCTAATGTTTTTACTCAATGTTGTTTTTTTTAAGTGTCTAAATAATAGTGCTCAAACAATATTCATGTGCACAGCTGTAGCATAGTATGATGTTTTTGTTTTTTTTTAAAGTGAAACTTTTGATATCGTACAACACAGCTCTCCAGTTCTAAACCCTTTGAGAATGACCTTAAAATGAATATTTTTCACTCTTTTTGTATTGTAACATCAATGCATACTGTCACAGATAAACATTTCTTGTGTTGGTTAACGGCTGTCCACCAGAACAACATAAACAAGCAATGGATGGCTCACATTAAGTTTCATGTCTATATGAAACTTAATGAATGGCCAAGGACTCAATGGAGAACAGCGGCTCAGAACTGTAGTAACATCTTATTATTACTGGAACAGTAAACGCTGGACGCTTGAGGATGAAACATGGCATACTCATGGACATGTAATGGATTCAGTACTCAAGAATGATGTTATTGAATGCACCCGCTGACCAGGAAACTTTACTGAGAACCTGTTTTGTGCTGCCACAGCCTCTCAGGTGCCTCCAGTGATCCGGTGGCTGCAGGACCAGCGTTGGTGTTTGCTCAGTGGGATTATGCATTCACGACTCTGAATAATAATGAGATAACAGTAATAACAATGCTGATGTTAATGATGGTGTGCATTTTTGAAGCTGTAATACTGACTGAGGTTTAATAAGATACTTAGTGTATTTGTAGCAATTTTCCCCTTAATAAAAACAGATGCACCCATCTTTAATGGCATTATCCTTTGGTGTAAACAGTTTTTCCACAAACAGTTTGGAGGAATGATAGAGATCCTTGGTTTAAAAAAAAAATTATATATTCTAACCCAGCAATGGAATTGTATGTTTATTAAGCTGTGCCACATTACCCAATGTTCCAAAACCGCTTTTATCAACCTATTAATAATAAGATATGTCCCCTGCAGAAACAGTTTCAGCAGTTGTTACAGCCCTGCAAAGTGCTACTAGTTATTTAATATGAATTATGGCAAATTCTTCACTGTAAGATTAGAATGAATGGATTTATAGTTTGAATTGATAACTGAGTAAACTCTGGTAGGATCACTTAGTTTCCGTCTGCCTTATAATAAATCACAATTTATTGTGTGAAGAAATCATTCAGTGAGAAATAGCAAATAACAGTCTAAACTAGCAAATTTTACATAAAGTGAATATTCTCATGCTTTTTTTGGAAAACAGTTGTATTTATTATGGTTTTTGTTGTTATTTACATTAAAATGTCTACGTTTAATTTATGTTTGATTTAATAGGTAATACTTTGCAATTACGTTCGATTTCCATCAGGTAACATAAGCTAACAATGAACCAGGGTTATTAAAAAGAACTAAATCTAAGATCATAAAAAATGATAACCATAAAATAAGTGATTAAAAAAATCTTAAACTTATTTCATTTCAGATAGTTCCTAAGGAAACATTTCTCATTTTCATTTAGTGTACTAAAATAACTTAATGTACTAAAATAACTAAAAAATAAATCTGAAATTAAAAATTAAAACATAAATAAAAACAAATTCAAACTATGAATCAAAACTAAAATAGTATTTCAATGATACTAAAACAATGAAGAGCATTAATTAATTTTAATGTTAATTTAACACGATTAATAAACAACTTTTTTATTATCTAATATTAGCAAAGATATTGCTTCTTGGTAGCCACTGTACGAATGGGACCTTAGTGTAAAGTGTTTCCGGTTAATTCTATATTCCGGTATTCTATTCCGGTATATATTTATATATAGTATAAAAAAAAAGTACAATTTAGTATGAATTTTAGCATTTTGTGTCAGGATGGAGCTTGTGATTTATGGCCTAGTTGAAGTGTCAGGAGAAAGTGCTTGATGTGCAGCACCAACACAAGAGAGATGCAGTGCTTTGGAGCAGTGCTACAACCTGACCTCAGAGGTTAAAGGGCACACAGTGAAACGCAAATGCAGCGATCAACCTGTGGAGCAACAAAAAGTCCAGATGGCTGGCTGACAGGAACAATTAATACAAATCCAGCAGTTAAAATATATATATATATATATATATATATATATATATCCTTACTGTACCTAAAAGATAATATTTGCAAATATACACAACATATCATCCCCTGGTTTCAGCCAGTCCTTGGCACTGATGATCTGATGCAAATTGCTCCCTTTTTGGATGGGCAGAATATCTACATATTAAGTAATCATTTAGTCAGTGCTCTCTTTACAATCGTTTGCAATGTCTGTTGTGCCATAATGGTAATATGTTTCTTCTGCACTGGTTTTTAATGCATTTTAAATGGACCCACTGCTAAATGGCACATTAAAACAAAATTAAGTCTCCTTTCTAAGACTTTCTGCATCCTAAATCGCATACTTCCCTTCTATATAGTAGGGGGGAAAGTTGTTTCTAAGTATGAATAAAGATTATGAACATTTTACAAGAAAATACTATATTTAGGTACCCGGATGACCTGATATTTCCCACAAGATTCTGAAGTGCACATAACACTTTATTATCCCATGAGGCCACGAGAAAGGATTTGTGGATGGCAGTGATGTGATGCAACTGATGCCGGTAGGTCACATGACAATTACAATATGACGAATGTAGAATGTCTGGATTACATTCATACTACACCCATTCATTTTATGTATAATATATGGTAAGATTTTAGTTTAGGGACCAGTTCTCACAATTAACTACTTGCTTATTAGCATGCATATTACTAGCATATTGTCACAATCTGTAATGGCGAGAAACGATGGAGACGAGGAATAAACAAAACAGTCTTTAATAAAGGAAACTCAGGGTACATCCAACACTGGGAACGGCAGGAAACACATGAACATAACAAGTAGAACCAACCGAGACAGACTGCACACACTAGGACTTAAATACAGGGGATGATTGGGGAAACAGGTGTATGGGATGACTAATAGAACTAATTAACAAAACGAGGACAGGAACATGACCAAATAAGGGAACAGAAACAAGGGCAAAACATGACACAGACAGTCCATGATCCTGACATTACGCCCCCTCCCGGAAGGTGCGTCCTCACACTATAGCAACAACAGAGGGAGGTGTGGGTGGGAACTTGGGAGGTTCCAGAGGACAGACACCCGGGAGGGGGCCAGCAGACAGAGACCAGGGAGGAGACAGGAGGGGCCCGGAGCAGGAGGAGCCAAGCAGGACATAATGCCACAGCCATAATGTCGACCCATGGTGGAGCCGACGGAGGGAGGAGCCATGGAAGAGGGATGGCCGCCGACTCCAGGGAGCCGACCAATGGCGGCGGAGCAGGTGGTGGAGGAGCCCGAGGCAGAGAGCCAAAGAGCCAGGGTGATGCCGAGGATCCGGGGGCCAGGGTGGAGCCGAGGGCTCTGGCGACCAAGGCGGAGGCGGAGATCCGCGGCGTGGAGCTGGTGTTAGGAAGGAGCCCAATAGAGCCGGTGGGACGGAGCAACGAGGTGCAGCCGGAGGAG